AGAAAATATTTTAAATACTATTTTAAATAATGGATTCTTTACAATTCAAATAAAGTAGTATTTCGAATAGGACATGAAATTCAGTAAATAAAATATTTTATTTGGATACTGTGCAGCTAAAGCATGAAAATAAATATTTTATTTTGATAATCTGAAACATAAAATATAATATTTTTTATTTTAATAACATAAAGCATAAAAATAGAATATTTCCCATAGTCAGAGCTGGGTAATATTTATAGAGAAAATATTTTAAATACTATTTTAAATAATGGATTCTTTACAATTCAAATAAAGTAGTATTTCGAATAGGACATGAAATTCAGTAAATAAAATATTTTATTTGGATACTGTACAGTTAAAGCATGAATCTGAATCATGAAATATAATATTTTTTATTTTATAACATAAAGCATAAAAATAGAATAGTTCCCATAGTCAGAGCTGGGTAATATTTATAGAGAAAATATTTTAAATACTATTTTAAATAATGGATTCTTTACAATTCAAATAAAATAGTATTTCGAATAGGACATAAAATTTTCGTATGAAAGAATATGATCATTTTTTCAGCCAACGTCCCAGATATGATGATACAGCCATAAATTAAAATGTATGCACATATATTATGCCTACTGTAATTTCTGACGATCCCCCAAATAAATTTGTACAAAATAAAAATCTGACGTATCTGGCGTAACATTACCGAAGTTAAAAGGAGTTAACGAATCAAATATTTTCGAAGAAACTCGAAAGAAAAAGCTTTCCACGTGAAGAAACAAGAAAATTAATTTACCTCGTGTTTTATAATTTTTCGTCGTTATCAGATCCAACTTTGACGAATGAAATATCATGTTCGATGAGATCAACAAACAGAAATAAACTCTGGCTTCCGTTGAGTTTGGAACTGACTCTGTGATACTGACTGTTTAACGATCTGTTTGTTCGATTTTACGAGAAAATAAGGAAATTGGAAGATAATAACACAAAACAGTCCCTGTTTTCACGCGACTTTTAATTTCTTTATGTAATTCCAGAATCCTATTAGATGTGGAATCGATGAAATTTTTAATTTATTTGTTAAACTTCAATCTTCTTGATTGATTGGTGGATCTGGCAACTACAGACAAGTTTTATCTTCTTCTAATCAATAATTTTTAAAGCAACACAATTCTACGTTTCTAATCTTTGTATTAAATTCTTTCGAAGAGTGAATCAGTATTACATTAGAACGTATCCATTTTATGTCACTGTATATACTTGAAAGTCTTAGGACACTTTCTACTTTTTATCCAATCGTATCAATTTTTAGTTTCGTGAATGATAAATATTTTTTAAATGTTATTATGTATTAACAATTCATAAATCTTTTTTTATCGTATTCACATTTCAAGAATGAGGAACGTCCATTTTTTCGTTTCATATATTTTGTTTATGACAACTATAGAATAGGACTATCGAATTATCAATTCGCAATTATTATAACATTCAGAATTGTTCTACAAGATAATATTGAAGATTTAGTGTATTGGTTGTATCCACAAATTTCCTTTTTCCCAAAAAAATCCTTTTATCGTCCACAAACGTTATATCTAACATCTTGCTAATATTTTATTTACTATTCTTGCATTTATTTATTTATTGTTCTTAGAGAATCACTAGACTGCTGGAATTTTTATGTATCCATGAAACACTCACATAATACCATTAATATGGAATAGAATGTTTAAAGCAACACTTTAAAAAATACTCCTTGCAATATTTAGTGAATAAATCTTCATAAAAATATAAAATTACAGTCTGACTCCATTACCGAATCAGATAATCTTCATTTTATGAACGTCAATTACGACTTTGACGAACTAAAACGGCATGTCAAAACATAATTCTCTGAACGAAGCTGGTTCCTCGTTCCTTCAAGCGAACGCAGGAGCAAAACGATCGTTTTCGAGGCAATATTTGGCTGAGATCGATTGTTCTTTTCGTTCAGATCGTGTGTCGATTGTGTTATTAATAGCAGAAACCAGTTGCCGAGCGGTCGCGCGTAAAAGTAAACGTGCATACGCGGTAATGTGGAAAAGAAAGAGGTGCATCAACGTGATGCAAAACCAGCAAGGACGTACCATACCAAGCATGATTTGCAACGATCAGACAGACGCTGCTCCTTGTCGCCACTGATTTACGACGAGATTTCGTTTCACATCGCTTATCACCGCGAACACGACTTACCCAGCGGGAGGTGATAACTCTCGGAACGTTAGGAACGAGAACATGACAACACGGGGGAATCTCAACGAGGATTACAGGTTTATATCCTGTTTATTTAAAATATTGTCAAAATTGATGGACGGGATTTCTGGAAGCAAACAGAACAATTACGATTGTTATTCGTGCCATCTTGTCGTAAATTTATCACCATTCCTCGATTTCCGATATTTCGTCGCTCTTACAAGAAAAGAAGCTCGGCGATTCTTGGAATTAATTATCATACTTGGCGAGCCAATTGTTAAAACGTGGTAATTATTCGTTGGATTGTTCTTGAGATGTAAACATAACGGAGATAAGATGATCTCCAGGAAAGAGAATTTGGAAAGAAAAAAGAAAAAAATTTAGAAAAGTACTGCAGTTTAGATATTTTGTATATTTTTTGCACGTTACTTCGATTCCCCTTCTTTCTCTGTTTAAACTTTGACAGATGTGCCTGGCCGAAAATCTGGAACGTTTACTTTGTTTTTGGACAGAATCAGCTTTCACGTGCATTTTTCTGAGAAACAAAAATATTACGATTACAACCTCTGTTGTTAGATATAGTCAACTAAAATTTTAAATAATACAAATTGATAATATTGCGGACAGAGTATTTATTTACATAAAGAAGTCGTTATTTCTTTTGAAACTTTGCTCGAAATTTTTAAGTATAATTTTTAATAATTATCGCAGAAATTAATTTTCATTATAGTATCATACGCCAATCTACCAAGTTTGTAGAATTTCTTCTCTTCGTTTACAATAACACGGTTTATTGTAATAATTAGTCGTTTCGACCAGTATGGCACTCGTTTATCATAAACACGTAGAACAAAGTATAATCGAACGAGAACGTAATATTTTGTTGAACAATTAATGAAAATAATCTTGAATCAAAATAGATCCGCTTTTAACAATTCGTAAAAGAAAGTTAAAGTGCAGTTTGCAACATCTACAGTTCATAGAAATTTGTTGCAAAATCATTAAAAGCATAGTTGAATCAGAATGAATTTTTTTCTCAATAGCTGCAATTCATACAAGCAAGTAGTAGTTTCGAGAAGTTTATCGTAAACAATTGAATGACAGAAAGATAAAAAGATAAAAGTTCTTATCGCAAACACGATGAATGTCGAACAAAGTATCGGTTTATCTGTTAATGTCTATTAATATCGATTTCCACAGAATCGTACGAAACAGATTTCATTCGACGCTATTACACGTCAAGTGTATGAACTGTGATTACCTCGTATGAATATCTCAATTAATACTTTCGAATCTCCTTTCCGTGAAACGATTTTCAATCTTTGTTAAAGAAACAAACTTTACAAGATTACAGAGTTCAAACTTTTCCGGTGAATCAGCTTTATTTTCATCGAAATTCACCACGTTATCAGTCGCTGGTCGCAGAAACGTAAAAATTTAACAAACGAGATTACGTTTAATCTATGAAAAAAAAAACTTTGTTCGTGATGTCTAACGTAATCGCTAGATTGCGGATTTTTGTGCAAAATACAATATACATTTAATATAAGTATAATTAGAAAAACAGAGCTTGGACAAAAAATTGTTTTACATATCAAAAACATTATAAAAAGCATCATACTTTGAATATTTTTTCATATTTTATATATATTATATTAATATATATATAGTAATATAATATTAATATATATAATATATATTTATATAATATTAATATATATAATATATATTTATATAATATTAATAATTAAATAATAATTATAATAATATAATATATATAATATAATATATAATATATATAATATAATATAATATATAATATATATTTATATAATATTAATAATAATTAAATAATATTAATATTAATAATAATTAAATTATAATATTAATAATAATTAAATAATAATTATAATAATATATATATAATATATTTATATAATATTAATAATAATTAAATAATAATTATAATAATATATATAATATATATTATATTTATATATATATATATATAATTAATATTTTCATGTTATACATATTATTATATATTATTATTATTAATATTTTTGTATTATATATTTATACTATATATCTTTTCATATTACAATTAGCATTCTGTGCAATTTTACATCTTTAAATCTCCCCAAAAATCTGCAGCCTAGCAATCGCTACGATCTGTTTGTCTCAAAAGAGTTCGTCTGTAACCGATCTGTAACCAATATTTCACACGAACAGATTTTGCGAACGAGAGACTTCAAAGTGTCGCGTTCTTACTCCGAGCGTGAAAAACAGCGCTGCCCGAGAGGGAAATTCTGCCGGTTGAATGTGCCGAACGGTTCGTCATCGTTGCCGTTTAAAATTTCGTCGAGCAACGAATCCAGCATGAGAACGAGGGAATTTCGTCGAGGAAGAGGCGGCCCTGGTGCTTGGATTCGACGTGTTTGCCTCGTGTAATGTGTAACAACAGCATCGAGCGTATAACGATCGGGACACGGTTTGTGCCCCCTTCCACGTCGAACGTAGCCACGATTCCTTCTTCTGTGTACACGCGCGAACACGCATACGCACGCACGTGCAGGGGGTACCGACTCACGTAGAACGTTGAACACACACACGTGGAAGCCAATTGGAGAGCCAAGACTTGGCCAACTCTTTATAAGTAGGAGCCATCCGCGTCCTCAGGACTTACTCCCTCTCGAGAACGTGCCACGATCGGCAAACGATTTCCAGAATAGTTCCTGAATCACGTCGCCGGGTTGTTTCTCGCGTCTCACTTTCGTACATTCTCGCGGCCCGCGCAAGAAATCGAGTCTCGTCGTCGTTTGGAAATCGACATCGTCGTCGCGAGATGAGGAGGTCCTCCACGAATTGAAGAGGACGAATTGAGAGTTGGTGCTCCACGTACGAAGTAGGTGAGTAGGCGTTTCTCTTCTTGGTTTAACGGCACGAGTGTCCTTTTATCCTTAAGAATGTTTGAAATTACCGGAAAGTTAGTATGGAATTGAGTTTGCAGCGGTGAATGAAAGACAGAGTTTGAAGAGATGAGCGACACGCGAGAAAATAGATTTACGTTGTTGGGAATGTACTTTGGAATAAATTAATATAGTTGAGAACAGACCAGTGTTGAGCAAAAGATACTTTAGAATGGACTGATATATATATATATATGTCGTCAGTATGGCAGTAAATTTGGTAGATTAACAGGTATTTAGTGGATTATTAGTTTTCTTTCGTTCGTCGGTGTAATATCGCGAGAAACGCAGAGGAAAAATTGATCGAAAGTGCATCTCTGTTATAAATTTACAAAATTCCGACGAAAAATTATGATGTATTTGTCGTTCGTTCATAATGATAGTTCCAATTTTAAATGAATAAATAAACTCTGACAATATAGGACAATAAAGGGCACCACTGTTTGTTTATACGTATTACACGAAGAAATTTGTTATTGTTCATTTTGATTACTTTGATTAACTGTTCTGATGATAATAATATTCTAGAATAAATTCTAAATATGATATTCTCTGGTACCGTAGTAGATGCAAATGTTTCAGAATAATCAAAATAATAATAATTTAAAAAAAATTCACGAACAATTAACGTTATAACGTACAAAGAAAACTGTGCTTTCGTATTTTTATAATGTGACGCAGTATCGTTCAAAAACTAAATATTTCCTCCCATAGGCAACGATCAACGTGTTAACGATTTCGATAAACCGTCATTTCTAGAAATATCGTGCCGCGAGTGATCTTGGATAATACAGAAATTGACAACAAGTGTTATATCGTCAGTGAATATTATGGTGTTTCTATTTTGCCGGCTACAAGATAGTTTCTCTACAAACAAAAGGATTTGAAGTTCGTTAAATACCTGTTGTCTTCCCATTTCTCGAGTGAACATGGATTTAAACCTGGTGTAAACCTCGCGAGTATGTGTTTCAAATATCGTTACATACACATATAGTGTATGTAACGAAATACAGATTAACTGTTAATGAGTGGCTACTAAACGAGATTAGTACGGTAGAGCCTTCTATCTGAAATCCCGTTATTTGAATATTCGAATAATATTATTGTTCCGAAGGCCCTATTATTCGGACATTCTGTTGTGCTAATATTCTATCGTGGTAATTGTTATTTTCATAATTTATCATAATTCAGGCCTGGTTCATAATTTATTTCATATTTTGTTTCAGTTTATCAATCAGAATTTACAATCTTTTGAAATTGAATTATTATTTATGTTTTTTTTTAAACATGTTTCTTTTCTTTATACAATATTAGATAATTAATAGACTGCGGATTCTTGTGAATTCATGCAGAATTCCTGTATTAATTAAACTGTAAATTTATCAAAAAAAAATAAAAGCTACAGTGGAAAACTGCTTTATGTATCAAATATTATGAAGAGCATTATACTTTGGATATATTTTATATTTTATATATTATACATTACATATTTTATATTTTATATATTATATGTTACATATTTTATATTTTATATATTATATACTACATATTTTATATTTTATATATTATATATTACATATTTTATATTTTATATATCATATATTACATATTTTATATTTTATATATCATATATTACATATTTTATATTTTATATACTATATATTTTATATTTTATATTTTATATTTTTTCATATTTTGTACAATTTTGAAATGTTGAAGTTTCTTAAAAATGCACGAAAATCCGCAGTTCTGTAATTATTATTTAGAGCAAAATCATATATCATTTCTTTTCTCAATGTTTATTCACGTCAAATGGTTAAATTTATCATTCTTCATTTTGCCCAATTTTTCCCCCAAATCAAATTCACACAACGATAAAAAATTCAATTCACCTACAATGAAATGACAAATTAAGTTAAATTAACTTTGCAAATTCTTTTATTAAGAACAAATAGATGAAGCTTCTATCCAATTGTGTGATAAGATCTACGAGACTTATTCTAAACAATAATTGAACAGGTGTTCAATTTCATACCGTGATCTTGTCTTCTCTAGTTTTGTCTAACGTCATGATCGTTTGTTGCAACTACATTCAGAACAAAGGATACCTACTCACATCTTCGGAAAGGCATTTGAACGGATAATAATTATAAGTCAGTGTCAAGTACTCTAGAAACTACTATACATTGTTATTAAAAATGTCAAAAAAATGTATGCTGCACGTTAGAAAAATAGATATTATTATAGAACCTCAGCTCTATAGTTATACGTGTAACAAAATTTACTAGAAAATCATATCAAATTAACACGAGGGTGTTACATTTGCATTCTTACAAATTTGCAAATGCAAAAGAAATTTATTCGAAAATTTCATTAATCAAACACTTTTGTGTTCCTTCTGTTATATTTCCGATATGAATATATAAATTTCATAATATGTAATATATGTAATATATAAATTTTATAATATATAATATATATAATATATAAACTTTATAACATATAATATACATAATATATAAATTATAATATATAATATATATAATATATAAATTTTGAATTGTAATATATAATATATATAATATATGAATTTTAAATTATAATATATAATATATATAATATATGAATTTTTAATTATAATATATAATATATATAATATATAAATTTTAAATTTTACTATATAAATTTTGGAGCTTTTCATATTCGTCTCTCTAATTACAATTTCATGACTAAAGTTGATTCGATGCCTCTCGTTGTTAACTCACTCGAGTATTTAGCAACTCTTTTTTTTCTCGAATGTTAATAATCGTGCAACGGTGACGTCAAAATTCATTAGGGTTAATGTAATACACCATACATTTTAACATTCTCTGCGTGACCTTACACATATCGTTGTTATCGACTGCGATAGTTAATACGTGGCTTTTAATCCTAATACTTAAATGAGAACGTGGATCTCTGAGGTAGCAACGTGATCTTGCAATTATATTTGAGCAATCAGCTACTGCACGATAACGTAATTCATTTTAACTAGAATGCAATTCGTCGGCGACTTTGTAAATAAAACGGTGCTTGCATAACAAGTTTATTCTTTGTTCCCTGTTAATACATTATTTGTCAAAAAGTAAGATATTTTTATTTTTAGGAATATAGGAATTTTCATTATTAGAAATATGTTCATTTTATTTTCTCTTTAGTATTCTTTGCGTCTTAGAAATATATTAATAAATAACTTGTGAGAAATATATTCATTTTTGAGAAAATCTCAGATAAATTAATATATATTAATGTTAACGATTAAAATTGTCAATTCTATTATTATATATATAATATATAGAATATATTTCTGTAAGAAAAAAATTTTGCATATTTATACATTTTTGCAAACGACATAAATTTTCTGTAATTGAATTTAAAGAGAAGTCGTTTTATTATGATTATGTTCAATCAAACTAACGCACCTTGCTAAATATTGTTTAATTCATTTTCGAAATATATTATTCGAATATAATGCTTCAACTTTGAATTATTTCTATGCGATTTCATATACAGTAGAAGTCTGTTTCATTTCTTTTTTTTAACAGTACTCGATTAAATGAACTCTTGATGATTAAATTTACTTACTTGAACTCCTAAAATAAGAAGTGTAATAGGTTGTAGATGTGTGATAATATCTTTATTAAAATAAATGATACATTAACAAAAATCTACACACGACGTACAAAAATAAATTAAATCATACCGAGCAATAAGTAATAATAATGAATAATTTCCAAAATCCGAGAGTGAAGAAAGTATTGATCTGTAATTCCAGTGTTTTATCTATGTTGAAAAGCTACGAAATATTTTTTCGATTAACGACATCGTATCAGGAAAGAACGTTTGTCTCAAACGCATGATAGAATTGCGAATAAAAACTTCCCAGAAATCTAATTTAATTGAACTAACAAGAGTTTTTATTTATGTAGAATTTCCGCCCGTGTTTTCATAAAAGTATTGCAAACTAGTTATGTCAGTATGAACGAAAAATCAGAGTTAGTTATTTTATAAATATTCATATATTTCATTTTATAAATATTCGTATATTTTCTATTGATAAATTTATTCCTCGACAAGTTCGCACAAACGAACTTATTCCACCGTAGATAAAAAGAAATCATATAGAAATCCTCATTTTCAGTTCGTAAAAATCCGCACGAATGATCCGTAAAAGTGGCATCGTGTACTTTATACGATCGCCAGAGTCACGTAACTGTTTTACCGGGTTAGTTGACACGATTTACGAAAGTTACAACGTGTCGAGCGAATGGACGTGAGCTGGCCGAAAATCCCCGGACCGATTACCGATTCACGTCGCATCGGTTAGCCGAAAATCGCCGGCTGTATTTGGATCGGCCGAGGCATTCCCGCTTAAACCAGTCGCGAACCGATTCGTCGATCTTGGCATTGAATCGCCTCGTACCAGGAGGCAATGCCACGATGCAACTTTGCAGCCTGTCCTCGACATTGTCTCGTCACGATCCTCGCGCTCCCGTAAATGGAGCGCTTTGGCAAGGCTGTCGAAAAATATTTTTGGACCTAGACGATAATCAGCTGGGAGACACTGAATGTAGATGAAGAAGGAAGCGGTTAATGCGACGTGTGCTCTGTGAAATAATCATCGAGTACATAGTCATGAAGGTTTCAGGTTGTTGAAAGTGTTTCGCTTCTGCAATAGTAAGATTTATTATACGGTTGCTCGTGAAAGTTTTCGGAACGTTTGCAGGACATATTGTGCGTGTAATAATTAACAAAATAATTTTGAAATTTTATTAATATCGTATCGATTGTGTTGGTCAAGTTTGAAAGCAAAAACTGTAGAAGAAATTGTAGGATTATTGATATAGACAATATATGATAGTACAGAAATATATTAATGTGATATAATAAATGTAAT